GCTCATACTCCACTCAGTAGAGTGGGTGCATAAAGGAATACAGTCCCGAACTGGGACTGGGAGGAAATAGTGGCTGTCTACTACTCCCTGGATTCTCAATGGTGGTCTTCTAACCGATTACGGTTTGTCATGAAATGTTGTGCGATTAACGCCATTCTAATTCACAGAAAATCCTTCAATTGACTCCAGGGAATACAACTCACGGACATTATTCAAATCGCATAGTCAACTCTAATCACACTAAAAAATTGTGATTCCCGTGATATCTTGTTTGAACCTCTCATTAGTAGTTGAGTCATAAATCAAAACAGCAATTGAATGTTGGACGTGACTATGAAAAAAATTATGCAAAATATAATGAAACACAGTAGTGTATTCGAAATGAAGTCTTCTCGTATAAGTAAACCACATTGGTCAATTCATCAATAAGTAGCTGTGAATGAAAATGGCTTCATTTTCTACTGTCAATCTGATCCCTCCACTTCCATTGGTATCAAGACGACTGAGGTGAAGAGAACGAATACTCAGATTCGGAAATCATTTCAGGAATAAAAGTCAGAAATACTATCATACAAGGACATGTCATGCTTACCTGAACAAAATTCATAGAAGACTGTGGCGTAAAACCATGTTCTCGAAATATGTTCGACGACGAAATAAGACAATGTTGTCGTCACATCTCTCCTAATCTTGCTGAAACGTTATTCAAGTAGTACCTGACGTTGTATGGCTGACTACCATTATTGATTACATTTAATCTCAATTCAGTTGGAAATAACTTTATAAAGCTGAATATATTTCTTCACTGGGAACGTGTCCAGCAATCCTGACATTTCGGAACCAGAAATTATAGTCATCTATCTTACCGACTAAAATAATTGTCACGCATTCACAAAGCTAATATCATTTGATGATCCGAATGGTTTATCAACCCAGTAAAGTCTCAAATCACAGATGAATGCTGAGTAATAAGCTTTTGTATCACTTCTGTACTCAACGTCAACCGCTTCACATCGAAGTCATCAAAATGATATGAGGATGACTGATCTGCAATTATATATGATTAAATAGCACACATGTTCTACCTGACCAGTACACGCTTTGCCTTCACAGGCTGATTGTTTTTTATCACATTTGTGAGTGATAGCTAGCTCATGGAAATTTTGTATCATCTCACAGCGTGGGCACTGAGATATCACCCTAACCCTAACCAAATTCCATCATTCTCTAGACAAGTCGAAGTTCTGCAAGCCTTCAGTTTTAATCGACCCATGCCATGCATGAATAGCATGGCTATCTGCCCATCCCACCTGAGTCAATCATCTACTTGCATTCCTCTATCAACCAACTTTATCACTGTGTTCTAGGTGGCATTCAAATTTTGACTGTGAGCAAGTCCTAATGCATATCGTTCCAATGCATACCTTTCGTGTGCAATCACACGTAACTCAACCTCGAATTCCCGTCTACATACAAACTGTGCCAACACATTTGGTTTCCATTAGACGTGTGAAATCATGAAATCGTAACTGTTAGGACGGACAAGCTTCTTCGTTAACTTGACTGTGAATTCGTGATTTGTACATGTACTGACATGATAATCGTACCGAACTGTTTCGATTCGTTCAGCCTCATTTTCTGAGGGATTTCAATGTCATTCATTCAACCATACAGATTTGTCTTATTTACAGCTCAAATTTCTAAGGGGTTGTAAATACAAGGAGGATACCACGTATATTGTTCGATGAATGTTGTTCGCGTAGTTGTCACTTAACCCGCTCCGACTATTCATTTCATTTCAGTGTGGCAGATCATTTCAAGTAATCAGTGGGTTGTAGTGTTGTGTTCCCGAAGCGAATTCTGTTGTAGTTAGACAAACACATAACGCACTATCACTGCATCGTATATTTTCGCGACGGTGTGATTCAATTCATTGCGAACAATCCGGAATACTAGTGCTATGCAATGCAAGATATCATGTAGTAATATCAGGTTTCCATGGAATGTTTATTCATGTCTTTCTGTTTGGAGAAGGTCCAGTTGATGTTGGAAAATATCATCAGGAGTGATATGAAGCCTGACACATTAAACTCATCGAGATGATGACTCATAAATTATCTTTGCAGTCATCTAGTCATCCGAATACTGTGAGATTACTGGTTCTGCTGGCCAGTCAGCCACAGAAGTACATAACGATTCATCAGTAGATGCATTATTCCCACAGTCCGGTTTCAATAAACAAAATGCAAAGATGACGTGAGAAATATCATTCGAAGAATTCGCATTTCTTTCATGCATTCGAATTCTAGTGAAAACGTTATTTTGTGAAAAGACGTGGAAATATGAACAGTTGAGAAGAGTGTAGAGATTTTCACTTCAATTTCTCTAATCTCACAGAACAACAGACAATTCCGTATACAAGCAACTCTACATTATTTGACGGGAACAGTTCCACGACTTCACTGTGCTTCATCTGTTACAGCTTCCGAAAACTGCGTGAAGTCTACTCTCCGTCAGAAGAATGTGAAGCACTGAATAATGCAAAAACAATGGTTATTGTTCCATTGCATGTATTTTGTATGCAATCTCGGATCACTCACTCACTTTTATCTCCCGGTTTAGATTAACATACTCCTCCCAGTAAATTCCTTTCCTACAGAACGTGTGAAACCGTGAAATCGTACGTACTCTTCCAGGTGTACCATCCATCGCGACAATTTCACACTCGCTCGTACGCACATTTCTTCACCTATATGACATTTACAAATTATTGACGTCTGAGTAATGAGTGAATAAAGTGTAATCATTCGTCATTTTATTCTTCTGACAGAATCAACGAACAACAGCATTGATAGAGTTGGTTATCAGTCTTCATCTAGCGGTCTGAGAAAACATCACGACTGCAGAGTATATTCACTATCAAGTCTGAATTACATCGATATTTCAACTTCTTGAAAACGGATAAATCCTGACGTTTCAGTGACAACAAACCTTCAAACCTGTGTCATATGATTTTCGAGACAAAGTAACACAATGATGAATGTTAACAGCGAGGATTACCTGTTCGTCATTTGTCACACTGGACAGATATGACTCGTTAGTGACAGCAAATAGATTCCTAGAATTAACTACTCAACAGCACCCTCGAGTTGAATGTTGTCATTCAGCGGTTGTTGAACACTCAGAACATAAATCTCATACTATTAGAGACTTATAAGCTGAGTGACAGAATTCCCATGGAGATTCAGAAGTGAGAATCAGCGTTTAGAAAATAGTAGCGTTTCGCACTAGACAACTGAGTCGCCTCTCGTAATCGGTGTGATTTTACAGTCATAGAACTCCGTCTCCTGAAACTGATTTCTCCAAAACCATGATATGAACAACATTTGTAGTGATGGACGACAGCACATAGAAAGCCTCACGATTCTAAACTTGGATCAATTGGTTGATATCCAAGTGCTTAAGTACATGAGACACACATCAACGGACACTCAAGAAAACTTCAGGGTATACGGAACAACCACATCACCAAATTATTTCGAATTTCCAGGTTTTCGAATATTCTCCTATCATCCACAATTTCATATGATGCATAAAATACACCCGTGAAAGCAGGACACTATACAGATCATACAATTACTACACATTCGGTAAACTGATGGAAGAGGAGTACAAATCTATCTTCCTTACTGTTCTCGTATATACTCCTTATGACTTGATAACTACTTAACGATATGATAACAACAATTTCCTACTTCATACTGGCTGGCTATTTTCCGTGACGACACACCAGTTACTTTACTTCATTCACTTCCTCTTACTTCACTTTCAGTCACAAGTAGCAGAAGTTACTGATGCAGTTTTCTGGAAACCTGTGTCGACTAACCATCTACTAGAGCACCTGCAAACTAGGCATAGATCAAACAGACATTATTATTATTATTAACATGAGACCTTGCATCACTGTGTAGTTCACTTTGACATACTCAATGTCTCCACGTCAGGTGAAGTGTAGCAAGGTGGAACTATGATATATTTAGAACCACACTTTAGTTAGGTAGTCACCGACACGTTTGAAAATGCCCTTTTTGTATATATATCTTGCAATCAGTGCATGTTAGAGACAAATGATTATCTGAACATATTTACGATAAGCTGTCAACAGTATCGGTTCGCTCTCTTTGGACTTGGGAGGCGACATGTAAGACTATTTTTACTTGATTGATCCTTCCCACTTATACATTAACTGTTCCCTCTATCCTGCTCCACGTCGTCCAATGAAAACCACATCTAAATCTTTGGCTTCCCCTACCATACCAAACGTCAATATATCCACAGTCAGGAAGTGTGTCTGCATATCAGTGTGTGCCACAATTCTCCTTAGTTCTAACAATACAATTAAAATGAACAGCACGAACTCGACTGTAAACTGGCAGTATTTAGTGGAGTTTCTTCACTTCTAACCGATTTGCATACTTACGCATGACTGAAAACCTCACCACTCCAGTCGATCACGCCCATCGAACGACTCAACACATAAACATTGAAATCTTCGACATGTGGTTGGAGGAAATAATATATGTATCACTTTATGAACTCACCTAGTCAGAATTACTTTGCATGACCAACGGAATCACGTGGTTTTTTTTAAACAAAAATAAGGTCACAACCACCACATCAAGTGTCCAATGCAATAGGTGTAGATCCGTCCAGAGCCCTATACTAAAAACAACTAACAGTAGGATTCATAATGAAAGCTGTAATTCAGGTTGCAAACAATATGTGAAAAAAGATGTGTCAAAACAAAGATGAAGGCAATGTGTTCAACAGGCAATGAGATTATTGTTTACAAGTAAAACATGCCGTCCACTTGACTTCTGTGGACTTTGAAACGACCGCCATCTAACAAAATCTCTGGATTCTCTAAATCTGACGATAACCAGTCACGCGCTCGAAATGCAGCCAGATGCGAATAGTACGTTGGCGCTGGATACGACACACTACGACAACACCTCATATACCCGTAGCATAAGTAGTAGGTGAACATTTGCAACGCATCCGATGTCCAATTACTGTCATCGTACAAAACGTGGTAATGAGCAGGTTTCGATGTACCCTAAAAGTAATTAGTATGAAGGAACAAGGAGATAATTTACCTGTATCCCTTCTTGAGAGCAGAGGTAGAAGTCAAATTCCCTGGGATGTGTGATGTCTGTGTCAACCACCGTTCCCGGCTCAACGTTCCTCGCCCTAGCAAAGCATTTAAACAGACTGGTTAAGATACTGGTTAAGGTGTAGTGGGTACACAGGAAACATCATGAATAAATACCCTACCTGGAGTCAAATGGTTTCAGTCGAATATGATGACGTTTTTGCACAACAATATAAGTGATAGCAGGCTCTACACCGGGACGAATATCTGCACAGGCTCTCTGAATGGCAGCTAACTCCTCCACTAACACATTTTCGAACTGACCTTCCGAAACACCATCACGGTAGAATATCATTCGTGTTGGAAAACGTCCATTTGTATTTCTCAAGTAAAGCTGCAATACAACATAAATAAGGAAGAACAAAAGTGTACAAAGGGAATAAGCGAAGTGCAAATAAGCTGAGTCAGTCGTCAATGAAAACTAACCTGAAGTAATTCTTTAACCGTGAGACGCATATCGTCAATTATTTCTCTTGTCGCCTTATTGCCCTTCTCTGTCGTTGCCTGTTGTCGGACGACTACCGCGTATCTCATCAGATCAGGTGACACACTGCCGATAACAGCAGCTACTGACTTCCGAATTTGCTGAATTTGGGTGGGCGCCGGATGAGTGACGTCAGCACCGAACACCATTATCAGTTCCTCACTGCTTTTAATCAGGCCTGGTATTCGCCAATTAACACCACCGAGTTTGCCATTCAGCTTGAGCAGCAGGTTCGCTGAAACCAGAAAACTACATTAAACACGCCCAAATACAGAAACACACTACACGTTATATGTAAATGATAGTAAATACTTACGGAATACGTTTGGTTTGCTCAAAGTACGACTTCGTACACATTGGGTGCGAATCCCCATTTGTAGGTCACTGAGACGTTTGATTTCCGAATAGCACTGCTCATCATAAAGGATAAGCAGTAGAAACGCGCACCCTTGTTTGGAGAACTCCTCAAACTTTCTGTTAAGTTCTCTTTTCGGGCAATGTGACACTATCGGACAAGGGCTTAAACGAACACCGAAGCGTTTGGCAGCTTTCAGCAATTCCGCTATCGCCTTTTGTGCATTACCCTGGGCCAACTGAAAACAAAACGACGGGACAAAAAGAATGATTAGTTAGTTATACAGTTCCAATTTGGTAATAACACCAATATACGCTTTTTCCTTACAGTAAACCAGAATCAAGTACAGAGTTCTCAGACTGATCCGCTGATCTAACAGGATTTTGTCTCTTCTATAAAGAGACAAGACAATTTCAGGTTTGTATGAAGAGCATTAAAAACTGACACATCAAAGGGAATGATGATATTTACTGTGGAGATGATGCTGTGAAAACGACGAAATGGTCAGACTGTCATGAAACTAGGCAAAGTATTCTTTGGTGTTGACACAACTGGTAAGCTAACTTCAACTAACAAACGACTTCGTCTACAATCTTTATTTAATGGCTTAAGCGATGATGGCACACATATTTATTACATCACATCCTTACATAGAACCGTAGTGGAAAACATACCTTATTAGGCGGAACACTAAGTATAGCCCACATCAATTCCCTTTCTTTTCCCGCAGGGTCATGAAAACCGGGTGAGTTGAAACTACCCGCCTTGAGAGGCCGCACACCTGAACGACCAAAGTCAGCAGTTGGCGGTTGGATAACACGTGCCTTAATTTCTGCTGGCTTCGGTTGGATTGACAAACTGAATTGTTTAATCAGTGGGTGTGATCTAGGGAGAAGTGAAACAAATATTATGTCAGAGGAAATCCTTCTAAATTACGAAAAACAAATTGTGAAGCAATCATTAAAAAATCACCACTAGACTACACCACTGTCATACACAGATGATTTTCATTCACACATACTTACTCTACAATGAAGTTTGCTTCACCATCAGACGGTAAACAAACATTACTTTAGTTTGATTCTTTTTTCCTTTTCAGTGCATTCCAGGTTTCCGTAATTCCATAATTCGTGTTGCATAATCACTAGCTAGCTGGAGATAGCCACATATCATAACAATGGACATACTCTCTCTGCATCCTCACAAAATTTAAAGATATGAGGAAATGTTTGTTGTATCTGCCTTTATACCTGGAAAACGAACAATACACTCCGTAGGTAAGAGCCACATCCCCATGACCTCCGGTAACAGCTGAGAAAGGATACTTCATTTTCCTCAAGTTTAATCAAGCTTACAATTCGAGGTAACACAACAGATACCATATATGTATTATCACAATCCCTGCAAAGCATTCGTCTAATATTATACCTCTGGTTCTCGTCTTTAGTATTTCCGTGTGAAGATAAATTTTGGGATTTTTCACTGCTGGAAAAATTAGTTTCGTTTAAACTGTAAACAGTCTAAGGGCTCTTAGCTTATCGACTATGACTTAACGTAACATTATCTTGAACACTCCTACGCCCAATATGGAGGACTCTACAATGCACATCAATTATGGTTTTATGGAGACTAGATGCTACGTTTAAAGAATCTCAAAAGAAATCGAAGACTTGTATTGTTAACTGCTTTGCTATTTATTCTTCATCGTCTCAATGCACTACTACAGTAAATACCGAGAGGAAACTTCTATGGGATACCGGAGAAATCGATCATATAAAGCTTCCTTGTCCAAACACGCTCCTCCGTCACTCTTAGCAGTTGAATGAATAGGCAACAATACCTTAGTACTGAGTGGTATTATCAACTGGCATATAACCTAGCCTAATTAACCAGTTCACCAGTCGGTCATAATACCGTAGTAAAAATGAAAGGTTGGGTGTGGAGCTAGCCACGCTACCCCAGAAAATCAACACAACCACTACAGAAACTTCAAAGAACAGCGGAAATAAAAAAGCTTATTTTTTGTTGGATTCGAATGACGTCAGCTGCTGTAGGCCTTCAGGCACACAGACAAACCGAGTGCCTTCTTTCGACGAAAGCAGATAGAACGATAGGGACGTGGAATGCTGCAACAATGTAACAAGTTGAGAAGACGGACCGGGTTGTAAAAGAAATGAGCAGATACGGTACACAAATGGAAGAAATTTGGACTCGGCGGATAACTCATATACCATGTTACATTAATCGGAAGATTTACAAGCGAAAACCAACAGATCGACAGAAGAACCACCAAAAACACAGAAATTCAAGTGAACACAGAAACAACGAGGATCACCAAACAACAATAACAAGCACCAGTCAAGCACTAACGGAATCAACTTCAGAAACGTCACTCCTTTCGCTTATCTAGGTCGCATCGTTTCAACCACAGGAACACGCCACGCATAACAATGTCACACCACAATCCGAAAGGTAAGACAGACACTCATCACTCCGAAATCAGGGTAGACGTCCCCTATATTCTCCACAAAGAACAAGACTCCGATTCTCAACACCAACGGTAAGTCAATACGGGTCAGAAGTTCGGTGAGTGAGTCACAAAAAGCTACTGTATACACCGATCAACAGCCGACTTCGCTCCATACGTACGAAGGATCAGATCGCCAGCCACAAAGAATTCCCATCAAGGGAACCAACCAACTAACAACCTATCACCCAACAAATATATCGAGGAAAATGAGGATCCGTCGGACACACACTGAGGAGCCTGTTGAGTGACTCTGCGCATCAGACACTCGAATGGAGCCCCGATCGGAAACGACAAGTCAGTCGGCTGTCTGAAGTCGACGTCAAGGAGATCGTGTAAGTGGATACAAGCTAATGAAGGGGGACTGAAGACAAAACGACAAAATGGAGGTGTGCTGTTGAAGCACCATCTCCCACTTCCAATCCCAAAGGGGATAACAATAATAATCATAAGAGGAAGAAGAATAACACATCCACCACATAAAATAACAAATGGTACCGACACAATATGTAGATAGAATTGCATTGGCAGATCACCACCACTACTACTACTACTACTGCTCCTGCATTGGGTGATGATTGAAGTGGAAGTGAGATGAAAATCCACATCTGCATCCCTACACATAAATTCGAGCCGAACACAACTGTCCGCCATTTGGTCATCATCATCATCATGGTGATGGTGACGACACACCAGTTACTTTACTTCATTCACTTCCGCTTACTTCACTTTCAGTCACAAGTAGCAGAAGTTACTGATGCAGTTTTCTGGAAACCTGTGTCGACTAACCATCTACTAGAGCACCTGCAAACTAGGCATAGATCAAACAGCCATTATTATTATTATTAACATGAGACCTTGCATCACTGTGTAGTTCACTTTGACATTCTCAATGTCTCCACGTCAGGTGAAGGGTAGTAACATGGGTGTAGAGTGCTACTTAACCCTGTTGACGGTATCTGATAGAACGACGGTTTATTAAGATATTCATAATAAATAATTATAATAATAATAAAGAAAATTCTCTTACTTGAACATATTATTAACGAAATTTTGAAGCTCCCGGAAACGTTCGGCTGGTCGAACTGCCGCACACCGGATCACTTCACTAGCTACATCCGCTTTACTAGCATTAGGAGACTGATATGGTAAAATGTTCAACAACTCCATAGGGATATACACGTCACGCTTTTGATCCACCTAGGAAAATATACATTGAATTGACAAATTACCTTAACACAAGGAAGGTACGGATACTTCAGAACGATATGATGATGTTCCTTGAAATATTCCGCCACTGATTGCTTTAACTCATCAATCATCAATTTATCGGCTGGTGATGATGATATCCCATGCACTGTGAAGCGTCGAGAGTACACACTCCCTGAATCGTATAAGGTATAACAGAAACAGAGGCATACCATTATCGCTTTTGTAGAATTTGTCAGTTTCTACTCGTATCCTCCGCAAGTCGAACGCCATTTCCTTACTATATTTCACCATATTATCTCCGTATTTCTCGTACATAACATCCGCAAGATTTCCTGATACAAAGAAAGCTTTACAAGTCTGTGACAGCATAAAAACAGCTAATCCCATCACTTACCATGTCCAAGTTGACACGAACCTTCCACTGTGGTCTTACGCTGCTGATAAAACCTTTGTGGATAGAGAAAAGTTTCTCTGAGACCACCTTAATTGGCTCTTCTTGAAATAGGGCGGCACGTCCAAGGGATACAAAGGACTGTTTGGACACAGTTTTCAAAATACAGTCCAATAATCTTATAGATTCCTAAACACGGTTGGAAGCGTAATTCTGCCTTACTTGTGGAATGTTCAGCGACGTAGCTTTAGGGTTACGTACATACTCATAGACATCGTCAGTTGATACTTTCTTCACTTCCATTATTTGGTACTCCAGGAGGAGATTACCACGACCCAATGGATCACTGATACTCACTTCTTTCTTCACTGGATCTGTGGTAACTCCAGGTAGGCGCTCCAAGGAATATATATCATGGCCCCCATCATAAACTATCATTTTAGGTAGTCTTTGCAAATACAGGAATACAGTAAACATGTTAATTTTGTTAGAAACAAAAACCGAAAACTTGGAAAAGGCTTCTCGTTAATTATTCTTACTGTTTCCATACTTCAAGTTACTTGTGAAAGCATCAGCAACTGGTCGAACTGTTCACATTTCAAGCTATCGCATCACTTCCTTTGACATTGGACAACCACTCAGCATAGGAAACTTTCAAACATGTGATGTGTACACCAGTTGGTAAAAGTGTTTGACTTCAATTTGTCACATACAAATTAATAAATGTACCTCTATCTATTGTGGAATCTGAAGATTTAAGTTGTTTTGAAGAACACTTATTTTCCTGAGAGTATGTTGCAGGTGTACAAACGAAACAATTTATTATTGTTAACGTTACAATTATCTATATACTTTTTTAAAATTCGTTCTATCTATCTTATCCTCTGGCTGACTGACAGACTGGTATCAACGTAGAACTTTTCACAGGTGTGCGCAACAGTTCGAGTTGTCACTCTCCCTCCCTCCCTTCCTCGATGTAGCACACAAAGAAAGAGAACAGAGTAGAGAAACATTCAAAACAGAGATAATAAACAGAAATTTGAAGTAAAAATGAATAGCGATATGAAAGAATAATTTGGTTTTATTGGATATTATAAGTCACAAGGAGTAAATGTATCTGTCCCACCCATTCAGAACGATTTTCAGCCATACCACCGATTTTCTCCACCCATTCGGTTTTGGCTTCCCGAAGACGGGTGACTACAGATGAAATCAGAACTCCAGTCACGGTAGGATTAGAACCAGCGGTCTTTGAAGTTCCAGACAGGCACAAGTCTTGAACACGATTTAAGCCGACATGTTAATGGCAAAATTAGAGAATCATCCACTCAACGAACTCTCATTCTACTGTAGATATATGGACGACACTTTTACCTCGAGTAATAATAATCAAATCGATCCAGAGGTTTTTCTCCAAGCGTTCAGTGTAACACACCGACAAACTGAATTCATATATGAAAAGGAGAAGGACAACACCCTATCATTCCTCGATGTCCTGATAACAAGAAAGAAAGATGGCATTATTAACAGGGGTATTTTCCGAAAGAAGTCATGACTTGGCCAATACACCCATTCACAGGCGTTTGTTCCTCTTACATACAAACGAAATCTCCTCAGTACCCTGGTGTATCGTGCTAGAAAAATCTGCACAGCCGACACTCTAGACGATGATAGAAGCAAAATAGAAAACCTTTTTTTATACGAGAACGCATAGCCCGAAAATTTGTCAAAGTCTCGATGAGGAGAGCAGACAGAAAGAAATGCCTGCAAACGATGCAGAAGATATGTACATACATGACTTTATTATTCAAAAGATACACAGCAACTGAATTACTGGCATCGAAACTTAGGAAAATAACAGCTTAAACATTCTTTGTCGCAACATTGTGTTTAAAGTTTGCCACTCGTTGTATAATTCCAAATCAGGCGAAGGATCAGTTACTGAGTCTGGCCACTTCACAATGAGCATTTGTAAATCTAACTGTTCATGTGGAGACAGTTACATAAGTAGGACGACTCGGTAAGCCCATCGTCACCCTCTGGAGCACTGTCCAATATGGTTCGGTAGCGGAGTCCTAAAGTCAATCAGAAGAGAGAACAAGGTTGGCAAAAACTCAGCTTCATTAATTCTGTACAGAATGCCACCTCAACTCCCTAGGTTGGTACTTCTTCGGTCGCTAACCACACCTGAGTCAGTCGCCAGAAAGATTTTTCACCCAATATCTGTGTTCACGAATAGTTTGCTCAATCTCTCTCCCCTCCTTGACCTTCGTCCCCAACCTAAAATAGGTATCTCTTCCGGTGACACTGGATAACTGTAAATATTGTCCTTTCACATTTTTTAAATTTTACTTTACTTTATTTGTAATTCTAACTGTATTATCAATATCCTGTTGTGCTGTAGTTGTATATTTTACTCTCGGTTTCACAATTTATTATTATATCATCTAATGGCTAATGTGACAGTAATTGTTTCCCCCTCTACCATCACCACCACTACTATCGGTATTTGCTCCACAATTATCATCATGGGAGGTATTTAAATTATATATGCATTCAACTAGTCAATTATAAACACAACAAAGATGTGCACTACCTGTACTTTGAGCAGTCAGTCAACTAGTACTTACTATTTGAGAGTAGTAATGCAATCCCATGCACAATGACAAAGTTAATATCTCTTATAACTGTCAAACACACACAATATTAAGAAAATGTAATTAATGTGAAAAATGACACCGTTGCAAGTCTAAATAATACTACTACTATTACTAACTTCTGAGTAATGTGTGAAATTAAATCACGTTTATCTTTCGGAGACATTCGTATTTCACACTTTACTGCATCTTTATCATTGATACGAGACACTTTGTTAACCTCTGCACGGTACATGTAAAGAACCTTCGGTTGAACAAAGAAATCCCAACAGTTCACAGTGACAGTTGTCGGTTTCCCCTCCTTACCGCCTTTGTCTGGTCTGCTGGGAATAGACACATTAGTCAAACTCAGTCTGAAAAGAAGAACAAAACAAAAGACCTCAGTGATCAAATGAATAACAGGGTAATTACATATTGGTGTAATGCACACACACACACATAAGAGTCGAAAACTTACTTAGAAACTTCTTCCGAAAGTGGAGATCTAAAAGAAAAATAAATATATACAGTAAACAACACACGGCGAAACATGAGATTTATGTGTGTATGAAAAACTGTCGTTTAGACAACTTACGTTGACACCAATTTCGGATGACTTTTCTTCTGACGTGCGGTTTCTGAAGGAACTATTGCTTCCTTCGAAGAAGACGAAACATCCAAACCACTAGACGGACCCGGAGACACTGATGTAGACAAGGAGGGCCTAACAAACAAAGCAATAACAATATGAGAAACAGAGAAAGCATAGAAAATAGCCACGAAAGCATTACGGTGGGGACAGTTGAAAAGTGAAGATTCTCCCGAAACATTGTATACAACCACGACTATTGGTGCCGAAGTTTCACATGTTCACACATACACACCACTTCACATAATCTCAGGCAATAACTATCCGGATATAACAACAAACACGAACGAACCATACAGACTGAACAGGCTTTAAAATTTATCAGGTACATATGAAAGTGACAAATCTCTGGTATTCTCTCCAATATCTGATGTTGTATGGTGAATGTTTCACCGAAAGGCTAACTGACTCTATCAGAACACGATTTATCAAGAGGTGAAGTATATCCTAACTGCATCAACGTTAATATGGCATGTTTACTGAACTTGAATCACAATGAAATACAAATCAAGTTAAATTGTCAGCCGTGTGATGACATGTCTGACCATGATTCTTGTCGCATTAAGAGAACAAAATGAAATAAACTAAAAGGCTTCAATTATGTAGAGTTCTTGATAAGACTGGGACTAGGATGGCGTTCAAACCAATCAACTCACTCAGAGGTGAACTTCGTAGTGGACCAAACTAGGTAAAATGACGTCATTTTTTAAATACCATGTAATGATTATGTGGTCAATTACATAGGTCAAACAAGTAGATCGGCCTTAAATGGGTTGTCAGACTACAGGAATGTTAGTACACCTAGAATAATTGACACCGCTAAATTAAATAATCGATTAATGCAATGCATAAGCCTGCATATAACCACATGAGAGGGTCGGATACGGTGAAAGTATTATAAAGTTGATTTATCTGTGTCATTCCAGTCGTAGTATATACATGCCACCAGATCAACGTTAAATACTGAATTCCTGTTCACTGGATATAAACCAAACACATGGAGTAGGAGTGACGCGACATCTATCATAAATATGCCTGAAGAACAAGAGGGATTAAAGCTATCTTAAGCAAGTCAGGACTCCATGTAAATACACTTGTGTGGTTATGGGTGACAGACAAGTTGTACTCTAAGCGTCACTATTCAGTTGTAAATACTATATCAATATGTTTCATCAAATAAACTTATCTAATGTGATATAATGCCCCACAACAATCCTGCTCTTACAAAAAACCAATGCCCTCTTGAACACCAGATGGACTGATATATTACAATGAAGGAGAAAGTGAATATTATGATAAAGAATTCATGAAAAAAATGTGTAATTTATATTCTCATAACAGTGCAAAACACTAAACGTAACACAACTAAAGTCATTTACATTAAACAGAGACAAACATCCAAACGTCAAAATACAACTATACTTACTCCTTGATAAAATACCAACGACCATAGTTCATAATCAGAACACATCAAGGACTAGATCACTAATCATATGGAACAGCCAATTAACATGAAGGAAATTAATACAACCTCAGAATGGTAGGCAACACAGTCCGTGTTTTAAAAACGGATGTATACTAAATTACTGCTCCACTCATCAACTTCATCGTTCACCAAAACTAGGGTCAATAACAACAACATTGCTGTACAGACCATCATCTCTTGTAACACAATCACTTCTCATCCTCTTCGTATTCAATGTCTGACAAGTGCTGTTGATTCTGTAACATCAACAGTCCAAGTCACAATAAACTGAATATTTTCATCTTTAAACCCACTAATAAATAAACCACCACACTAGGATTGTATTACACACCACAGGAACTCATAATAATCTCCTCTGTTGGATATGAAACTCCAGCATATATTAACCCAACAGACACCATCATTCACTTACACCAATTACAATAGCTGAACTCAATTCAAGTTGAAATCAAGTATGTACATCACTAAGTGACTTCAAGCATTCTCCTTATATATACTTTAGTCTCAAATTCTATCTCGTATCACCATTATGGACGGTTGTACTCTCAATTACTATCCGAACGCATTAAGCAACTCTGGGCCATTCGCTTGACAACAGATAGACTGTTCTCAATTCTCATACTGAAACCTGAACGATGTACAGGACTGGCAATCAAACACAGGTTGTATATTTCGAGATATCAGTGTTATGTGTGAGAGGAGTGACTATTGGAGGTTTGTGTGAGTTTTTTGACGCAGAATCAACTAATTCCACGATAAGTGGTGGTTATGGGAATACCGGCAGTGCAGATACGTATAACCCAGCCAGCCTACCATGAAGAAGTTCATATGTATCTACGATTAGGAGATTGGCGGGTAGAATTCCAGGGTAGTCACGCATCCTTCCGGTGTTCATTTTCTCAGTGATATACAAATTGACATCCGACTTCCGATTCCACGTGTCTTTTAGTTGAGATGACTTTCTGATTTCTGTGTGTGGAAGACGTGTTGTTAGCACTATATACTTCACCAGGTATTTCGAATGACAAGTGGCACTAAGTATTTCGCCATGATGCTGCTTCTCATTCTCACAAGTGCCTCCTTGCGTGTACCTAAGAAATCGTGGGATTGTGAATTTTAGTCAAGAAGTTTTTGACTTAGACCAAAAGTGAAATATCTAATGGAAATTTCAACAGTGAAGACATCCTTTGAGATACAGAAATTGGATCAATAAATGTAGATGTGGAGGAACTAGATACAGATGGAGAAATGTCAACAAATCTCAAGGTAGTTGCAAATTATACGTTGCTGTATTGAATTTAAATTGAATATATAAATCTACAGGCTGAGAAAATTCCGGTCTGTGCACTGAGAATTAAACTTACCCACTGCTTTGCTGATGTTTCCGACCTTTACGAGACTTCTTTCCCCCGCCTGAGCTCCTGGAAACGAAAATGGATACATGACTTTTGTGTGTACAAAACACAAAGTACATACATACATGAAAACTATTAAATTACAATCACTTCGTCGTGTATCAGTGGATATCGCTAACATAACTGCTCTCATGTGTCTTTACAATTAGCTGCTGTTGAAGAGTGGTTCTCATATCCTGAAATATAGTTGTTCTTCTCCAGGCATTTTGGAAGAGCGACAGTGCTCCTTTAGTGCTTCTGCAACGGACTAGTGATGAAAGAACCAAACTTGTGTACTACTGTAGTACGGTATAACTTCACAATCACAGACTGGATATTTCCAGGCATTTTCAGAACGACTACCGTTGTCACGCCTCCCACGTGTGTTTTGATACAGATAAAAGGATGAGAGAATTAGCACATCCTCTAGAATAACCGACAGTCCTTCCTGGAGTAACTGAAGGCGGCATAGGTTTGCAATAGACCGAACAGCTTTAGATGGAAATCATTTCAGTATGCTTCGACGTGCAACCAGTGGTTGCATAAGTATAGACTGACAAGGTGCTACTGCAAGTGATACTATCCTCCTACCATCATTTAACCAAACGGTACTCATCGAAACATCCATTATCATCCCTAACCAATTGAGGTTAAGTGAATCATTGCACTTGCACTCGAATTTCCCATGCATCTTACGACCATAAAATACAACCGGGACCTGGTATACCGAATTGTCGGCTATTTTACTGGTCAATCTGACACGGTTAAATTATTGAGATGTTTCGTACTTAGTTTCCATCGATGCAGAGAGACAACCTATGACACTTTGAACTCAAATTGGTAGTGTGATTTATGCAGCTGGAAGACGAAGACAATGTAAGGTTTTCAGCAAACGTAACAAATGTCGAAAAGAGGGATGAAAACAGACTATCAGACAAACCGTGAGTAGATATAGGTGCATGGGCTATTGACAGTTGTCAAATATCGATAGTGGCATATATCAGTTGTATCTAGAGATGAAATAAGTCAACCTGAGAGAGCTATCTGAAGCCCATTAAACGCAACATATTTAAGGACGCTAAAATATTTAGTTAAATCCACACGTAAGTACCTTAGTGTCAGTAACAGAAAGCAACAGGATTGATCGGAGGACAGTTAGAGGATTGACTTTTCCTAACTGCTTACTAGAGTATGAAATGAAACATCTAACTAAAGTCATTTATTCAGCCAACAGTTTTAGAATTATCCCACCGACTTTAATACAAGAACTTTAATTCACACGACACAATAAATCTCATCGGTCAGGATATCTTGTTAGAACCCCAAAAGGACAGTAAATCAACCACTAACGACCAGTGGGTCACTTTTCAAGTTTCGAGTGTGATGACGGATACTCGCGGATGGCATCGGATAGCCGTGGCGCTATATCGCGAACTGGCAGAAATTGGAATTCACACGTTACTGGACTCCAAATCAGTGGCTAAATGATAGACAAGATTGACTTTCGAAATGAAGTTCCCACGTTTGATCACTGATTAAGTAAATGGTGGACACTGTAGAGGCATTTCAAACTAAACGAAACGGTTGTACAGTGCTCTCTGATATCAATTAGTGACGAAATCTACCGAGAAAGAAATCAAATCCCTGCAATGCAACACCCAAATGAAGCATTTGTATTTACTTTGATTTACGCCTTCCGAAGTGTGGCATACTGAAATGATGCGTTCATGTAAAACGTTTCAGGTTGATTTGCCAACTAATCAGTCACTCAAGGTCGGCCAATACGTCCAGATAGCTGCTACAAAGAACTACTGTGTAACACGCTCGTCCTTTAAGGATAAGTGGATGTCACTTCGAGTTTATAAATGATGCAAATTTGCAGGTGCCGAACAAGCCCTTTATGTCTGTGGCAACAATGAACCAGGATTCTCACGACAACCAGTCACAGAGTCTCACTAAACTCAGTGTTTCACAGATTCACTACGTTGGTCTGATGTGACTAGATGGATAAACTTACTTGGACTTCGCATACGCGCTCAAAACATATGCCAATTTTTCATAGCCTGTTAGTCCTATTGGAGTAATACTAAGATGTTGAAAGATTTGATATTAGGTTAACAGCACATTTCAAGTCATTGGCAATGGTAATTCTCTGGGTTATCCAGCTGTGATTTCAGAGTTACGAGAACATAAAACAGATGTGTGCGCAAGTGTCAACAATAAGAGGTAGTGCATTTCGAGAACAACATGAAAATAAGTAAAAAGTCATATATGCTAACCAAAGTAAATGGATGTTCAAAGTTGATTTCTCCTAATAATACGTGAAACAAAAGGCCAATTCCTACATGAATATTGAGTCCATAGAGTAGCTGCTTTAATTTCGCGGCTCATGTACTTGTAAAAATGAAAAACCAGTGCAGTCTCGTCTGTTTGGAAACTTCATAGCCTCCCTGAATCGCCATAGAGTAAGTCAGGTTGTACGATTTCTCAGGTAGACCCTTCCTAATCCCTCATAAAGCAGGAACTCACTGTAGCTAACGTATCTGTATTACACCACTGCCACAGCTCCGTTCTCCAATGCTATGACTAAGTCTTTAGACGCTCGGTGCAGTCCAACTTACACATACAGTGAAAGTAACTACTTCTGGTTATATCCTTCAATGAGTCATTACAACATGCCAACAACTTCGAGGCGACAGCTACTGGCCAGGGATTTCAAAGTCATGACAAGTCTGGAAATTGTTAGTTAAGTGCTCTTCAATTTTCATGAGGTTGCATTCAGGTGATCAACAGCTAATTACTATGAAGGCAAGAAAATATTCCCCCCAGTGACACGAAAACAAAACTTTAAAATTAGCAGGAAACTGTGAAAGCAGCTGTGAACAATCAATTAACGTTAGTAAAAGGATTATAAACTGATAACGTAACCGTGCGTAAAGTACACTTCTACTTTCATGAACGTATGCAGAACTTACATGTTCTGTTTTGTGAGGTTGTCTTTCTACGAAATAGTATTAACCAAATTGATTTCTTTGAGCTCGCTTCTTGGTGGTTGTGTGACGGTTTGTATAATCTGGTAAGCAACGATTTGCGAATACAGCTAATAAGCGTCAGCTAAGAAACAAGTTGGATGGAGCTATACAGGCTATGAAGCTTGATCATTTTTACTTTTGGATCATTAAAACAAAATGTGGATTTACAGTATCCTGCAGATGACCGTATGTCATTTGATCATCTGATGCCTACACACTAAGTCTATTGGAAAAATCTACTAATTATTTGTTGTATTACACACTTTTATGTTGGAATACTTCCTAAAAGTGCAAAATCAAATATCGTTATTACGAGCTACTAACAACTGATTCGATTTGTTTCTGCTTGATTCTTGATTGTTAGGTAAACGTTCCTGATCTTCGGTAAACCCCTGCGTACCTCGTCCCACCAATCGACTGTCGTAGCTATGGTTGACTCCAAAATGAGTAGTGTTGGGGTGGCACAGTGGTTAGGACTCTCTCCGAACATGCACATGATCCGGGGTTCGAGCCGACGCAGTCGGACACTTGATATCTATGGCCGGCCTGCGAATTTCGGGCTACCGATATCCACGCTGAAAACTCCATACTTGTACCAAAAATACAGTGTGCAATCAAGCTGTAATCAAAAATAAAAATAAATAAATAAATTTTATGTGGTTTGTAGCATGCCGTGTGTTAAGACTGTCAGTACTGTGAATGGAGTTGATGTTTTCACAAGTTAGTCCTCTGGTATCGTCATCAAAAGAAAAGACATAATAACAGATATAATTAGTGTGGGTTATTCAGACTAACAGACAGAAAAAGAAATAACGAATTACGAAAACAGACGGTTGATTAAATTTGAAGTTGATATATTTATACACATATATATCAGTAATAATAATAAGTGTAGTTAGAGTTATCAGAAGAGTAATACAGGAGAGAATGTAAAGAAGTGAAACGACGAATTTAGTTGTGTACCTCTGAGGGGTGCACGGGATTTTGAGGGGATAGGCCATTTGGACGCAGTCCTTGTGTCGCTGCATGATTCTCCAGTCTTTGCTTAAAGGTGTCCATAGACTGTGTCATAACTACATCTGCCAGTAAGGAGATCTAGGGACAGGAAGCCCGCAGTGAAAAGAAGAAGTACGAGCGCATCTGAGTCTTTGCCCTCTGGTGAGCTTAACTTCGTGATTTCCACGAGGAAGCCTATACATACGCAATCGTAGAACACCTTTGTTTGGGTGATTCCGGTCATTTGTTATCTTGCAGACAGTAATCAAATCCCTCCTAAGCCGATGGTAGCTAAGTGTGAACAGGCCTAATTTCTTCAGCCCTTCATCATATGGTTTACGGAGACCAACCACTCTTTTTGTCGCCCGCCTTCGGACTCTTTCCAAGAGGTTGGCGTCTCTTCTAAGCAGTGAGGGTGCAACGATATTATGCATTTCAAGATGTGGTCTGACGTGTTTTGTGCAACCTCAGAAAGAGCTCAGGAGTGAGTGCACCTAACTGTCTATGTGGGAAGTGTATGGCCACATGTTCCTTCGCTTTTTTCCGTTAGAAGTAGACCTAAGTCAGGCTCCAACGTGGTTCAGGACAAGCTTTCCTTGCACAGGGTGTAACTTGCGTTCTGCAGTCTATAGGTGAGCAGTTTCACTACCTTGCACTTTTTCAGGTCGCAAGTCATATCATTGGCCATCATCTGGTCTTCCGAATCCTTTAGATTTGGCTGCAGCCTATCTGAGTCTTCCACACGCTGTTGCCCTCCAAATCTTCACGTCGTCAGCGTATAGAAGAGTCGGGCAGCTTAGGCGGCACATTAGATCACTGATCAAAATCGAAAACACCAGCGGTCTGAGAATAGAACCCTGTGACACCCCTGGTGACGAGTGGTGCTAAGATGATTGGACTCAACTGACCTTAGTGAAAAATTTCCCCTCAGCTAAGTGGTCCTTCAAATATGGCAGAAGTGGCTTATGTTTACCTGTTTGACTTATTTGGTGAAGGATGAGGTCATGGTGAACTGTGTCAAGTGCCTACTCGAGGTCTAGGATGACCACGTGGACTGGAACAATCGTCTTGAGTGGATAGTAGGTTAGTTACACCGGATCTGCGTTTCTTAAAACCGTGTTGGACTTCACAGAGTCTGTTAGTCCTATCGAGATGCTCCGTGATGTGATCATCAATTGTACTTTCCAGCACTTATGTGATTAGGGCCCCTAGTCTATGAGCAATGAAATTTTGCCTATCCTCACTCTGAAGATCGCAGGAAGAATGGCTCCTTTCCACTCCCTTGTAAGTTTCCTCGAATACGTCGATCATACTTGATCGTGCCTGTAAAAATGGCCTGCATTTTCATGCAAGTTTATATGAGTATATACATTATTATTATTATTATGATTGTTAGAACAAGTCACTCAAGGGCCAAACGAGAGCTACTGCGCACGGATTAGAAACAGATGCTGTCAATGTCCAGGTATAACTACACCGGATTTCACACTGTCTGACAGTGTAGTTGAAGACTGAACGATCAATTCATGGTTGTTTGCTCAAACCCAACTCCATACTTTGGCGGGAGTCATCGATACTAAAGTCATCGTCTCATCCTTCGCTGTTCGTTGGAAGACAGAAAAAAATTATCAGAAGTATTATTGTGATTTATTGTTATGACATTTATTCTTTGACCTTGCGAATAATAACCTAACGGTTGGTACTGTATTGGTGCGAGAATAAAGGATTCTTGAGCCAACAATTTGTGTTCTGGTTTTTTGCGTTGGCTATTACGCATAGTCCTTGAAACTCTTCCAAGGACATTGTGAAGTCCAGTGTAGTTAGACCTGGACATTGACAGTTTCTGATAATTCTCCTGGAGCTATTTGTTGTCAGTTCGTCTTTCCTCGCGTCTGCAAGTCTTCTTTGGACAAGTGTTATTTAGAACTTTTCTGGAATTTTTGATCAAGTGCAATAATGTCTAGGCCGAAGAGAGGACCAACCGTTTTTGAAGCAGACAAGAAAGTAAGTAATGATGAGTTAATAATAATATATTTCTTCCTGTTCATGCAGGGACATAGCAATTGCACAGACACAGATAAGTTATTATATAAATTACGCATAATTTGATGTATGATGAATTTACAGTTTGGTTGTTCTTTCTGACATTAGAGTCAGTCCGAACAGTCTGCTATAAAGCCTGTTTGTGCAACACATAAAGAGATATAGAAATATTGTCTTCGCATTAACAAAAACCCAGACATCAGATGAATGTAATACAGATATCTGGGAAAAATAAAGCTTGAAGTCAATTCTCCTATATAACTTTGTTTTGAACAGCACCCTTGGCTTAAAGTTTATTGATGTATTATGTTGAGATCAGTGATATATTTATACCATTTTTCAGCAGTCTTATTGTAGTTTTATAACAGGAAAGAAATTTGATCGTGGATGCGAAAACTAGATGAGGTCATGTTGAGTTGTTTTACTGCATCGAATGGTGCCGAGGTGGATTCCAGAATTCTCCATTTGCGTCATTTGTGTCTGGATGGCGGACTGTATTCGTAAGTTGAGTAAAATGTTGGAAAACTGTTTGGAAACCAGTTGCTTCTTCATTTCAGATCATGAATACTCATTTACAGCATGTTCGCCAGCGTCTTCAAATGGTAGAATTGGATCGTTCATGGAATTTGAGTGGTGATGAGATAAATTGTTCGGAATTAATCTTCATTTCAGTTCAGATGCAGGGTTGTTCGACATCGACCAGAGAATAAATAGGAGCAGCAGAATACCAGAAAGAGAAAGTATGTGAACATGAAGAGGACATTAATATTTTATGCACTTATAATATACGTGTTAATATATATATAATTATATATAATATATATAATATATAATTACAATATATACAGTGTATATTATAAATTTTTATGTCAATTGTATATTATACTTTAGTAAACCTTTCCCCAAATCGTAGTTGTGTTTTCACGTATTTATGCGAAGTCTTAGAGTTTATTTAGTGTCATAACGTGTATTAATGAGTCTGAGCGTTTTAGTGTTCTAATGACTGATGCGTTTTAGAAATAAGTAATGGGCTCTGGTAGGGATAGTCATTGGGATAAAAGTTTACATAGCAAGCGCTTGAAGGTTACAATAGAGTGACAGGTCCTATTTCTAAGGGTAAACTGTTCCAGTATGTTTCGTTTTAAGTCTTTTTATGTATCTATGCGACTAGTTTATTTATGGTTCGCTTCTCATACGGAGATCTCGAGCTTGTGAGATGGAGCTAAGGGTGTTAAGTATTAGACCTAGAGTGCCAAAGTCATAGTGTTTGAAGTAATTTGTTGAGAGTTTCTTCAGTTTCATACGATCCATTGGTTCTATGAATGACATTCTGTGTGGGGAAACCTTGGAATGACAGCATCTAGGCATCTGTTTAATAATGTAATGTATTTCATACAAATTTAAAAAATTTACATGAAAATGCATGCCCTATTTTACAGGCACGATCAAGTAAGATATAGTCTCAAATCTCAGGTTGTCTACAAGTTAATCATATTTCAACTGTTAAATATTTGATACATATAATACACTCATAGTCTGAACTAGGCCGTATAGTTATTGAATTTTACAGTTGTTTTCTAGGTTGAGCGGGAAAATCGACTTCGTTTCGTTTCCATCCCGTGGTTGTCGTCATTCGATAACCAAATAATATTGAGGTAAGTACAACTTCTATGAGGGATTCAAAGCTGTTTTAGAAAAGTAAAAGTGCTGAGGTGAATCATTAAATTTTAATGAAATAGGTAAGTGCAAGTATCATTAATAAATGCATTTATAAAGGAAACTCCCTAGGCTGACAACGTTCATTTGCAATGTATAATGCTACACGTATATCTCGTACTATCATGATGTCCACTTTTGGTTTTAATACATTTATCCTCAGTTGTGCCAGTTGTTTTTGTTTTATACCTTTTTGTGCATTTAGTGCACAACC